ACCCGAGAGCGCCGCCGCCGGTAAGCTCCGTTTCTCCGTGATTTTTTGGCCCCCCGAGGGCCCTAGGGTTGTTTTCTTGCAGGGACCGATGCGAGTGTGGCCGAATTCGGCCGGAAACGGCCGAAAACAGCCAACCCGAGGCGAATCGCCGCCGCCAGCGGCGGCGCCGTCGCCGGAGCACGGCGGAGCCGCCGTGCCGGAGTTGCGATTTGGGCCGAAAGGGGCCCTGGGCCTAATTTGGGATTTTTTTGGAACACGTGCAGGTACCAGTAGTGCGTTTCAGTTCCCCGGGAAAAATTCAGGAAAAATTAGGGACAGCCTGTAGGCGCACTGTGAAGCCGTGTTCGGACCCCGAAACGAGTAAGGACCCCTCACCCTATTTTCTATCACGGTATTAAAGTTCAAAATGATAAAACGGTATTTCTTGAATTAACAAATGTGTGAAATTGCTTAAGGTGGCTAATGGAGCCCGAGTCTAGTGTGATTGGTGATTTACTGTTATTTGGCCTGTTTACAGCTTTAAATGCAAAATGAGGTTTGATGTGTTCATTTTACAGATTTGTGTGCATATACTACGTTTTTATTAATTATAGGTTGAATGACTGAAAAAACTGATACTGTATGTTGTCTGTTTGGTATGAATTACGATTTGCTTGTTTAAAATGTGAATTGATAATGCTTACTGAGGAAGAGGAAAATGAAAGATTGTGTAGACTGATAATTGTATGATGGGGTCAGCCTGACTAGATATCCTAGGAGATGGTGGACGGACCGGGTCCGTAGGGAACCCTACCGGGATTGTGGTCTCACATGCCGGGCGGGGTATGGAGATCTCATGTGTTTTGGCGCCCATACCGGACGGGGTATGGGGACGGCCCGTTTCACCCTCATACCGGACGGGGTATTGAGGTTTATGGTTTTGGCGCCCATACCGGACTGGGTATGGGGACGGCCCGTTTCACCCTCATACCGGACGGGGTATTGAGGTTTATGGTTTTGGCGCCCATACCGGACGCGGTAGGGGGACGGCCCTGAAAACTGATAATGAATGTTACTCTTGCCGGGTAACGGGATGCTTCTGGACCCTACTGGATACTAGTAGGCTGGTAAATGAGAAAATGATATGTTGTATAATGATTGAATTCCAAAAGGCGTGATAAGTGCCATGTTTTACAACTTAAATTATTCCATGAATGTGATAATGTTATTGTTTTGTCATATATTGTTTCATGAATTCCACCGAGGTAAGTGGATGGTAAAGGTTATATCATAAATAAAAGGATTTGTTGTAACTCATGCTCCATTGGTCTTTTCTATTTTTCTACCCACCTTTACCTCCGGGCCGGTGAGAAAT